TATGATATGATTAAATTCAAAAATATTTGATATAAACTCATTTTGAAGGTATTGATGAGACGATTATTAATTATAATATAAACATATCTTTGAACATATCTATAATACTAATAAATAAGTAACTTTGGAGATACGTGTCACGTTTCTGTGCGAAATTTATTATTTTTCCCGCCTAAAACATAATTTTTATTTACGGCCCCCAGACTTACAACATAACTCTGGAAAAATTCACGTCGGGTTTAAAATTTCAAATTCGCATTTTTGAAGCATTTTTCACAAAGCAATATTACCTGGAAATTTTTTTTAGAAGAACATGTATTCTTAGTACTTAATTAATTAATAATAATGTGAATTCAGCTCGACCCCAGCCAGGGGCTGCCGCCCCCGAACCCCTTCTGTTAGGGGGTTCGTCCCTAAATCAAAATAAACTCAAACAAGTATGCACTCTGCACCTGCCTTACATGTTCAATATTTATCATGATTACATTGGTCAACAATTTAATCCATTACACTTAAATGACTTTAGTGATACAAATCATCAACATGAAGTCATCAGATATTGATTATTTCTCAGACTTACAACATAACTCTGAATTGTTATGTTCCAAACTTAGTTATATAGTTTATTCTCAGACTTAGAATACAACTCTAAACTCCTCTTCAGAGTTACGTTTCTGAGTTATAAGAAATCAAAATTCTTGTGACTCAGAGTTATACTCGTAGATACTTTATAGACTTAGAAGACAACTCTGAATTCCTCTAATTCAGAGCTAACTCCAGAGTTATTTTTCAGTCTAACAATAGAATTCCGAATTCTTGTGTTTCAGAGTTTTCTTTCAGAGTTAATGTCCAGAGTTTTTCTCATTTAATAAGAGCAAAAAATAATCATTATCAAAAGTTGGTTTATTTCTAAGACAACGGAAAATTTATACAAACTTGTAGCATTGGCTAATTTTAGCAATTAACTTTTGAAAAGAACTTCACACTTGTAGCCAGATTGGTCGTCTTGGTTTAGAAGTCTTGCAACGCTAGATATTGTCCGTCATGAACTATGGAGGATTTCTTAGCCCTTGTGTTTGTCAAGCCTGATTTCGTCCTTCATACAGAGCTTAACAAAGGTTCTGCACATGCTATGCAGTCAATCTGAACCAGACTCCATGTTTCATGTAGAGCTGCACAGAGGTTCTGCATTTAAGTATTGAGAAAGAGCTCTGTCTCTTCACGAAATGAGTCGAGGCTCTGTCTCTTACTCCGAAGATGGCCTTCAGACTTGTAACTCTGAATAGAATCTGTCTTAATCTCTAGAAACTTTCTTTACGCTTGTGTCCTTGAAGCCTAATTTCGTTCTTCATACATAGCTTAACAGAGGTTCTACATGTACTACGAGGTCATTCTGACTCTGCCTCCGTCCTTCATACAGAGCTTCATAAAGGCTTTGTACTTATCTTGAGTAAGAGTTTTATCTCTGCATGTATTACCCAGAGCCTCTGATTCCCTTTGCTTGTCTCATACAGAGGTATACAAAGGCTCTGCATGTACTACGCAGCGCTGGATATTCGATCTACATTGTTCGTCTTCATTTAGAAGTTTTTCTGATCATCGAAGCACATGCCGTCCTTTGTATATGTAACATTTAATTCTCGAGTAAGAGCATCTTTATATCAAAAATTTAATCGGACTTGTACTTTTGTCTAAGTTTATAAATTACCTCCGATTATTAATTCTTTATAAAATACATATCGGTTTCGTTTAATTTTTGTCATTAACCCGTGTAATACATGGGTCCAAACCTAGTTTTACTTAATATACGATTATATGTGTTAAATATGATAAAGATATAAAATTAAAAATTAAAAAGCAAAAGACATAAAGTAAATTAATTAAATAATTATAGGGGTGTAAATTATAATTTTAAATTTAATAATCATTAAGTTTAATGTAACACCCCAAAATTCATATTTACATATAACCATGTATTTCATATAATAAAAAAATACAATTATTTACATTCGGTCTCAAAAATACAATAAGCTATATTACAAAACAACTAACAGATCTTTTTTTTATAACATTTTTGTACATAACTTGCATAAATAACAAGTATTCCAAAATCAATAAATAACAGACTCTTCTCCATATTCATGTAAACACACAGGGAATCTCATATTTTCTCATTTCCCTTATCCCTTGATAATGCTCGATCTCTAATACACATTTTTAAAACACAAAATAAGGGTTAGACCTTGAGGTATTTTGAGAAGTTTCTTTTTGCAATTATAGGGTGAAAATCACCAAAACATATTATAAAATCATATTTGTAACTAAAACAAATATATACAACCTTTCAACAAAACATTTCTCAAATATCACATTCAAATACCCAATATCTTGGAAATTATCCCATGGTAAAACTTATCACATCATATAAGGATTTATAAAATTTCCTCGTATCACACTATGCGAGACCACCCAGAGCCCCTCTGGTCTATTAATCAGAGCAAAGCCAAACTTAAAACAAAGCCAATTAAGGTTAACCAGAAACAAGACTTTATAAATAAATAAAGCGAGGTTAACCAATAACACAAGACCAACCAGAGGCCCTCTGGTTCCTCAACCAGAAGTTCAAGAAAAGCTTCAAAAGCTTCAACTTCATCGAATGATTTTGTAAAATCTGAAATTGAAGAGGAGTTTGATGCCTTAATGAATGCAAAGTTTGTTTGGATGATGAAGAGGAACTTTCTGCAAAACCTATTTTTTCTGAACTTGAGACACTTGCTGATAATGAAAAAAATCAGTTTTGAACAAAATTAGAGACTCCGAAGATACACTCAAATCACAAGGTAAATAAACTTTTGAACCAAGTGTGATAGTATCTAATTACAACTGATTCAGAAGCTTCTACCTGTAAAACGTTGATTGAAAATATCTCGTCAAATGATTTTGTAAATTCTGAAACTGAAAAGGAATTTGATGACTTTCCTAAGTCAATTCTTTGTGTGAGTTGGTCCAATCAGGTCATGCCATGTGTCATATGTTTTTTCCCCTCTAATCTCGATACATTTTCATTTTTTCCCCAATATATCAATTTTTTTCATTTTTGTGTATTGAAATTTTTTGTGCATATGCGTAGGGGGAGCATACTGATATCATTGTTGGTACGGACTTTTGAACATATCAGTTCAGGACTTGGACTTTAGATATAGATTCTGAACATATCATTTTAGAACTCGGGTTTCAGTTAAAAGTAATATCTAAGATTACTTAAAAGATGGACATCATTTTAAGTTTGAAAAATATTTTCTTAGATGTTCAAATCACTTCTCTATTATCAAAATGATTTTATGAATTTAGAAGTTGGATTTTCAAAGATATATGCAATAGAGCATCTCCAACAGTTATGTTATAATTTTTTTTCTAAAATAGGGTATGAAAAGTCAAAATATCTAAAAAAATTACATCCAACTCTAATAACTACTCTATTTTAACATTTATATTATTAAAATATTCAATACAGTATAATCTATTTCTTCTAAACATTTATTTTCAATATTTTTTATCGATAAAAAAAGATTAAAAATAAGATTTTTTTTTTTGAAGATTTTCAGCTCCTCTTTCTTCTTCTCTCTGTTTCAGCATAAGTTTTAGCAATTACCATAGCTATTGGAGAGAAACTAAAAGGCAGTTTACCAAACGCTTAATCATTAAATGTTTACCGGGTCACTTACCTTATCAAATGAACATGAAAAATACCGATAATCTTACCTGGTAAGAGCAATGGCAAAGACCGAAAGTATTACCCTGTAAGTGAAGGTGACGACTCTTACCCTGTTAGCACTTGAGTAAATTATTGCATACGATGTTTTAATGGACTACAATCTTACTCCATACGATAAGTGAGTGTTAACTGTGTTTGGGTACACAGCCCTAACTTTTAGAAAATCTATTAGAGAAAAATAAAACACAGTAAAAACTTCTAAATCTCCATTTTGAAGAATCTGTTAAAAGATGCTCTAGCCTTGCAACATTTACCTCTTTTGGTTTATGAAATAGGAAGTGCAACAATTCTAGGTTAAATTTCCTTCTCAAAACAACATGAAATAGATTGAAGTTTGAATAAGGAAATCTAAAACCATAAAAAGTGACCAAGAAAGAACCACAAATGTTCATAGTAATTCTACTAATTGGTAAACAATAACAATACCAAAATGAGGTTAGCAGCTAGTCAACTTCAGCCACCTTGTTACCAAGGATCCGATCTCGTTGTTCGATGTACTCCAACGGGAACCAACCTGCCTTCCCTTGGCATTCGCCTTCAGCCCAACCATGGTTCGACACCTGCCCAGAAAACAGATAGAAATATTCATACGGGTAATTGAGGTTTGCGGTTTGAAATGCAACCGAGCGTTGGAAATGCTGCAGAGAAGCTGAAAATAAGCTAGGAAGAACTAAACACATGATTCCTGATATGCATATATGGATCTGCATTTTTTTTATTAATAGGATACTTGTAACATGACTTTGGTGTTGTGAGGGTACATTTGGTACGTGGGACCAGACTAGACGAGACTGAGTGGGACAAAGATGCATTTTTTGGTCCTACCAAAATAGGTGGAAGAAAATTCAAAGGAGATGAAACAGTGGAAGAACCAAAAGAAACCTTGTCGTTGTACTTGTGGAACGGTATAAGAACCTGAAGAAACTTATCGTGATCCTCGTGCTGGAACTTGGACGAAACAAAGAAGCTAAAAGTGAAAAGACTGCCGTTTTTAGCAAATAGCGTCTATAACACCGCTATTTCTGCTATTTTGAAACCAAATAACGGCTAAATAGTGGTATTTAGCAGTATAATGGCGGAACCGCTATTTTACCACCGCTAGTATTCTCAAGACCGCAAACCGCTATTGCACCGCGATAGCACCGCTATGGTGGTGCAATTAACAGCATAGGTTTATTTATTACATGATATACAAACTTGCGGCCCTAAGCACTCCTTGAAAAATGCCATGGATCCTAAGGCTTGAGGCCTTACCTCACCACCACATTACACCTCATGCCATTTAGAACCTTTTTTCTAGTACAAAGGTCAAACAGCCGCTAGTGGGAGAGTGCAGTTTCCATAGGCATCACCAAGTTGACCAAGAACTCTATCTATCCCCTGAAAACCACAATCACATCTACTTTGGGTCCAAAAAATTCTCTTTATATGTCGTTATTGAACACTATTTTAGACATTTTACAACATAATCCTTAAAATTGCATGCCTAGTTAAACCTTTGTTGTTTTCATTGGACGGAAGGAGCAATTAATTGAATGATGCAACATAATTGATGGCTAGAAAGGGTAGAATAAGCCAATAAGCAATCCATGCGACCTAAATAGATTAAAACAACTAAAGTAACCAACTATGCATGATATTCCAGGTAAAATACCAGGGGGTGTCAATTGGAAGATGGCAAAGTTTTTGCCTCCCGTTTTACTCATCTTTGGGTGAGATTTCCCGGATCCTCAAATCCAAGCAAACATGTGTAAAAAATTAAATCATACCTGCCGAACAACAACATAGTCCCCAACTGTTAAACTCAACTCAGCATCCGACTCGGCCTGATATGGATGTATAACCTATTGTTCAGAAAGAAGCAAAATTAAGTTTTAGCCATCATTTTCAAAATACATAATCCTGAAATTGGCTGTTGAAAGCAAATGAAAACCATTATAAACAGCATAGGATAATAATCACCTCTCCAAGAAAGTAGTCCGTATTATCTGCAGAGTTGTCATTTCTATGAGAAGCAAATACACCATTTATTTCATCATGAGGTGGAGAAGAGCTCATGGGTGAAACTGCAGTTGCAGTAGGAGAAGCTTCAATCCTTTGACGTTCTTGCAACATCTACAAAGAAAGTCGTTGATCACCAAAGTTATTCCTCTCACTCCATGAAAATTCCAATGTTTAACCAGAGCCATATAGCTCAAGGAAATTGTTTTGACTTTTCATCAAATATTTAAATTACCTTTCAATGAAGACAAAATGGAGAAATTTTACGGACCCAAATCAACAACGATCAATTTATAAATAAGTAAAATTAGCATGAACGCCTTTCCATAGAAGGAAATTGGTGGCATCTCATTTTCATTGGGGTGGAGGAAACCCGTAACTGAAATATTGATTTTAAATGGAAGCCAACATTTGCTTCCTTTTTCATGTTAGAAAGAAGTGCCAAATGTGTACCTCACCCTCCAGCCGATCAAGTATATGCAGAACTTTTTGATGATGATGTTTCTCTGCTTCAACCTTCAATTCAGGACTATATACGTCAATACGTGAACTCAGCTTTCAAATATTTTTTCCTAGAGAATCTCACAGTAACAAAAAAATACCATGGTTATAAGTCGCTGAAGTGTTAATCTCTGTTGTTGAGCTTCTACAGCTGACATAGTAGCAACAGCTTCTTTTCCCAATATGGTCATGTTTGACTTTAGCTCCTGAAGCCTAGCTTGGGCAGCTTCAAACTTTGACAAATTATCGGGATTTCCATTAGATTCTCTCACTTTAGCCTGCCGTCTAGCAACTTCAATCACCTACAAAGATTCCTTTCAGGATGATCTATTTTTTTCATATTGAATTGAACACACAACTTAATGTGGAACGCGTAAGTAAAAGAATAAGAGGTCTTTTTTGCATATTAGATGTAAGTTATGTTAAACCTGAGATTCGGCTTCTTGTCTAACTCTGTCATATCTTTGAGCATGACGTCGAGCATCCTCCAAAGGAGCTCCCACTACCATAGCTCTCAAAGGCTCTGCAACCTATAGTAGAAAAGATCATCTTCGAACTTTGTAACCATATAAGATAATGAATTAGGAGGTACCTGAAGTATGAACAGTTCTAGACATTAAGGAAATTTAACAATCAGCATTTTCATTTTGGCTTCAACGGTGTGAAAAGAAATGAAATGTCATGGTGATTCTGGTCCTGAGAGGATGATTGAGATTGGACTCACAAATGGAGACAAAAATTTGGATCACATTTAGGAGATGTGATTGTAGAGAACTGAAATGGGACCAACAAATGGAAAACATGGAAGATGTTCATCTCCAATTGAAGGTCTCATTTACTTGATGCAAGGAGAATTGAGATGGGACCCAGAAAAAATGAAAATGATCTCCTTTCTCCTTTTGCAAATCCGATCTCATTTCAACTCAAATGGGTGCCAGAATCATGTTTTTGTTTCTCCATACACCATATAAGATAATGAGATTGTTGAATGTCAATTCCCAAGATGAATAGCATGACCAGTCAAGATTATAGATATCATGGTAGATGAAGGGGAATACAACAAAAGATCATGCTGATTGCTTGCTTTTAACTGTACAGTCATATAAAAAAAAGTAAGACGTACAAGTATAAAGGGAAGATTCAAGATCATAGATACGACGGTTGAGCATAACTCAAGAAAGAGATCTAGGTCAAACTGGCTAAGCAAACCAATAAAGAGTTTGAAGTAACTTATAAACAAATAAATGTATGTCAATTTTCTATTTATGCAACTAAAACCGAGCCAATTCTCCTTCACATGAAAATAAGTCATTTTAAGGCAATGCAAGTATAATATACCTGTGTGCCAAGGGCCTTTAATAGAGTTTCTCTTTCCCTTTCAATATCCATACGAGCACTACCATAACTCAATGCCGCCTTGGATAATGCACTACCACTGGTGCAAGTGCTCTCAGCACCATATTTCCTGCTGTCCTCAGAAAGTTTAATACCTGTGGGGGAGAGCACAATCATACGGTTGTTGATATTGCAATAGATAGGCATTAGTTAGCTTACCGATTTCAACTTGCTTGGATCCAGTTACAATAAAACCCTCCACACCACGGACAATGTCCCGTTGAAAGTGCTGATAAGAAAAAAGAAACCGCACATATGTTAGGAGAAAATATAACAAATAGCTGCAGAAAGTGACAGAAGCAAATGTGGGCAACCTTAGCGGATCGGGTTGATATGTAAAGCTTCTCAAGCTTTTGGTGCTGCTGCAATTCTACTTCATTGGCTACAATATCTTCAGAACCTCCAAGTCCACCAGCAAATTGTTTGAGAACAGCCTAGCAAATATTCATAAATCAGAAAGACCAATCACAGTTTACAAGCATAATTCTGTTATTATAATGCTCCCGCCAAAAAAGGTGGGTAGCACCAAAGCAGTTAAAGGTAACAAACGTGAAGGAATAGGACAAACGATTAGTTGAGTAATTCTAACTATGTCCAAATAAAAAGCAGACAAATTGGGGATTCCATGACCTTCGGTCAACATGTTACCAATCTATAAAGGGGATATCTTTTGTATTTCAAAGTATGGTGTGCACAAAGTGCAATGCACCTAGGCTAAAGCAGCAAGTTGGCCCAAGAAACACCAAAATCCACAAAAGCAGGGTCAAAATTCATTTAGTAACCCTCTACAACAATTTAGGAGCTGAAGATTAAGAATGATTCTCAATTGTCGGATGAGATTTTACATTCTTTCCGACTTAAGAGTTAAGATATTACAGAAATATTAACTTTGTAAACCTGATCATATACATTTTCAGGGTTTGATGCACTATTAACATGATTTTAACCTAAATGAGAGTGGCATTTGATGGTTTGCTGGTTTCAGATTTTGCTAACAATTTTGTAAACCGATAATTTCCAAAATAACAAATTTTACATTTTCTTCATCCTGCACAAATGCAAACTTAACCTACTAGACATTATGTCAGTTTAGGAGAAAATGGAATTTGATTTTGCAAACGATGTACCTCAAATTTGAACTCAAACAATGTATAATCTTAAAAATGGAGACACCGTGTCACAAAATATTCTACCACAACGACCTAGAGATTGAGATATCAAACAAGAACAACTCTAGAGCATAATTTTCCAGAAAACTTCACAGCACAATTTCTTGATAAGAAAATCAATGCAACTGCCGTTATCCAAGTTACATACACTTGCAATCAATCAATAAAAACTCAAAACACAAAAATCCAAATGAAAGATGTCATAGTTTCACATACTCCCTCCATTCAACAAACAAACAAAAAAAGAAGAAGCTAAACATCGAATTTGGATCTTACTTTTCAACTTCAAAATCGCTGTAGTTTTTAATCATTTCTAGGGAACTCGCTAACTACATCAAAATCCATAACAATTTCTACACACTGAACAGTGTTTGATGAAAAAAAACTTGGCTGCTGCTGTTGTTGGTTAAAGAATGAAGATGATATGGTACCTGTTGTTGCCTAGCGACCTGTTCCCTGAGCTTGGAAGCTTGTTTTCGTATTGCATCCATTGTTGATGAGCTAGAGTTTGGAAGAAGAAGAAGAAAGGGAAGCGACAGAGAGAGACTTGGACTCCTTTTAAATGGTGTTTGTGATTCAAATGTGGGCAAGGGTTTCCGATACAAATATTCTGATTTGGACGTTTTGTTTGTAAAAACGTTAACTAAAACTAAATTTGTACGTCATTAAATAATATTACGTTAAATGTTAAGTTTTATTTTATTAACATCAAAATATAATATGTTCGTTTACGAGAAACAGTTTAAAATGAGTTTATGCTAAAATAACAGCATCAGTTAAAAGTTATGTTAAAAGCAACTTTTTTTTTTAACCGTGAGTATTCAGATCAGTCTGTACAATAATCTCGAAGAACAGTTAAATATTTACTAAAAGAGAGAGAATTCTTTAAATTTGGACTCAATTTTCCATCAATGATGTGGAATGTATTATAATTTTATGAAATATCTTTATAAGAGGTTGTTTGTTTACATCTTAATAGTTTTATTAAGAGACAACATCTGAATCATTAAGAAGTAAACCTTGCTTGGTAAAAAAAAAGTCTGTCTTTTAATGATCCTAAAACGCTCTGAATGATTTTGTATCTTGGACTTCACTTAATCATTCAGCACCTTAATTCCATTATAAACAATTATATTTCATTTTATACTATATCATGAGAGTCTTTTAATCATTCTAATCACTTAATCATTTTGTACAAAACTATTTACCAACTACCAAAGTATATTGAGATGATGAATTTATAAAATATTTTAATAATATAATGAATGTTGGAAATTTGAAATTATTAAAATAAAATAGCCTTTAAAGTTTATATGATTTTTTAAAAGATATCATATTTTTTATTACTTTATTTTAAATATATATATACTATTATTGGAAATGCTATAACATGGCAAGATAGTTGCTTTTACATTTGTATCTGGAAATATACATGCGTAATACAGCGGTTTATATCTTGTTTTGTTATTTGGTTTTCTTCGATTTTATTTTATAAAGAAATTTAGATATATATTGGTTATTATTTCACTTTAAAATTCTAATTTTATGGTTTAATTTATTTAATTTAAATTTTATTATAATTTAGATTTAAAATAAAAAATATTTTAGTTTAATTTAGTTATGATTTGTTTTATAAGAATAATGACAAAGTATCATTTTGACGGTAATTTAAATGACAATTTTTTAAGATATTTTATATTATAAATTTAAAAAAACAATATACTTTAATAAAAAAAATAAGGTTTTTATCTCGGATTTGGCGGGGAGTACGATACCCGTCCCCATTCCCGCTTTAGCGGGGAATCCTCGTCCCCGACCAGGACGAGTGGACTGGGTTCCCCAACGGGTCGGGGACCATTCCCACGTCTATTCATTGTTATTTTTGTTCCCGAGCCTAACCTTAACGTTTTAAGTACAAGGAACTAAATTAGTAAAGGATTGTAAGCCTAACTCTTACCTTTTAAGTGTGGGGACTAAATGTAAGTCAGATTGACGAAAATAACAATAAATTATAAATCATAACTCATACGAATGAAAAAACAATGAGTTATAAACCATAAGAATGAAAAACGTAGTTTCAAAATTATAGAAATAAAAATAACAATTTTTTTTCAACAAATCATAAATTTAGTCTAATCAAAATAATATAACTAATATGATTTTTAAGATATAAGTATTTATTTTTAAATTACAACAATTTTTCCATTATTTAGTATCGAACAAACCAATTTCTACTGAAACAGTTTTTCTTTAACGTATAAATTCATATATATATATATATATATATATATATATATCTTATCATCCAAACCTTATATCTTTTGGTATGTCTAATTTTGTTCTGTTTTTAGTCGTTAAACTTGAATTTGGAAATATTTTTGAAAAAACAACGTATTACAATTTAAGTCCCTGTAGTTTATACAAACTTCAGTAATAGTTACAAGAGTTTGAATTTTATTTTGAAAGTGGGTTAACTCTGCTAAAGGTTGTTCGTCAAATAAGAGGCATTTTAATGTTTTTACCTATTTCTTGTCGTTACTTGTTTTTCATTAAATATATTTGAGATCGGGCTCGACTATTTTTTGAATGTTCAAGCTCGAGCTCAGAGGTCGTTCAAATTTTTTGAGCTATATATTATACGAAAAATTCAAGCTTTATAAGATCAAACTCGAGATCGATTGACTCGTTAAGTTAAACAGATTTTGTATTGTATTCAAGATCCACTTGAGCTCAATATTTATTAAGCTTGAGCTCCAGAGCTCGAGTAGCTCGTTAAAAGCTCGAATCATTTACACTACTAGGACGAAGGCGCAGGCAGAGGTTGTTCTTTGGGGGGAACACAGTCCGATAAGGGAAAGGGTGGGTTATCAGGCAATCAAACGGGAAGGGTTAATATACAGTTTTAGCATAAGGGGTTTTTATATGATATAAGATTATTTAAAAGAGAATTAATGGGGAAAAAAAAAAAAAAACTAAAAGCTGAAAATGTCCATAAATTAACGACACTTTTTGACTTGCATAGTTAGTGAAAATGACCCCTTTCAGAACAAAATACAATTAATACGTACCATTTCTGTATTTATTGAAACGCATGAATGATTTTCATAATTTTGTGTAAACCATATGAACGAAATTTATAGCTTACTCTCGGAAAAGAATTCTTTATTGTCCTCTTAGGTTGACCGTTGTTTTCGTTCCTTAATATTCATCACCACGAATATCTTCCCTCCTCCTCGTATTTCTTTCTCCACGATCATGTTAATTGAGTTGATTCGTTTACAAATTTGATCGTCTTTAGGGTCATTAGGTCCTCCATTTTTGCGTTCAAATAATCCCCATGAGGTAATTCGTTTTTTTTTTTGCGTTTGTTACGTAAACGAAATTAGATTTTAATTTTGTGTTGTGAATTCATGATTTGTGGTTGACGTTCATCGTATTGTTGATTTTGTTTTAGAATTTACGGTTTTAGAGTATGGATTTCAATGGAACTTGAGATTTATTTTATTGTCGGATTCATGAAATTATGAATCAGCTTCCACTGCAATCACGATCTTCTATAGAAAATGGATTTCAAAAATGTTGATGCTTACATAGGGGTCACTTTAGGGTTTATACGAGAAAACAAAGTTCGGTGCTGATTTGGTGTGTTAAAATTTGTGCATGGTTAGTTCATAGATTCGAGTAGTTCAGTAAGACATTTTCAGTCACGAATTCGTATTTATAGTTTGCATTCGAAATATCATCAAGAGTTCATGGTATGCATTGGTTGAACTGAAATTTTATGTCATCAATTGACGATGATCGTGTAATTTGCATCATACTGATGTTTTTCAGTATCTAAAAATTGTAGGTGAATCTTCTTGGGCGATACAGTTTGGAGCATCAGATACTGAATTGTGAAGATCTTTCCTTGTGAACAACCGAAACTTTTACAGGTTAGTTTCCAACCATGTTTTATCGCTCAGAAGGCATATTATTTGTTAGAGTACCACGTTGATCAGACTTGAACTCACTACAACAAAATTGGTTTTATTGGACACCCCATATCTCTAAGTGTCACAATAGACCGTTTTATATGACTTAATCTATATGATCAAAATATAAAACGTCATATCTAAAGGCGTTGTAATAAGTTTATATGACGCTTTTGGGCGTCTTAACAAGTTTTTGAGGACATTTTTAATACAAAGTGTCGCATTAGCAACTTTATATGACACTTTTGAGAAATTGTCCTATAAACCCAATTTTTTATATGACAGTTTTTCAAATAGTGTCCTATAAAGTTGATAACGGGACGCTTTATATTAAAAGTGTCATTAAAAACTTATTACGACATCAAAAAATGTCATATAAACTTAATACAACACCTTTAGATATGACACTTTATTTTTTTGGTCATATAAACTAAGTCCTATAAAGAGGCCTATTAGGACGTTTAGAATTTGGGAGTGTCCTATAAACCCGATTTTGTTGTAGTGACTATTTTTCTCTCGATATATATTGGAAACTTTCTTCTCTCTTTAAGAACTTCTTAGGATATTAATTTAATGGGGTTCCACATATTCTCACATTCTTCATGTGTAAGTTTTTCTTTGTTGTTATTATACAGATATAATATTTGAAAGAGAATTTGATACATTTTAGTATACAAAAGAAATCAATCAGGGGTTTTCAGTTTATTTCCCTCTCGACCTTGGGAAGAGAGGGAAAGTAACGGTTCATTAGCCTTTCAAGATCCTTTTGAAGTGTAATGGTGTCGACAAGTGGCATGGAGACACGGCACGGCGATGGACACGAAGAGAAGATTTTTGTCTCTGTGAGGGTGAGGCCTTTGAATGAGAAAGAGATCGCGAGGAATGAATCTTGTGATTGGGAATGCGTAAACAACAACACGATCATATGCAAGAATAATCCAGTTGAACGATCAACATACCCAACTGCCTACACATTTGGTGAGTACTCTCCATTCCAATTTCCAAAGAATGTCAAAACTATAAACCAAACCAGAATCTCGCTTGGAGATGAGATGTATACATACGTGACATTTATCCCAAACAGTAGAATCACTATTCTATGCTGTTAAAATCACGATATATCGCCGATATATCGGACTCTGGAAAAATATCGGTGGTGAAATATCGGTTCCGATAAAATCGCCAATATTTACCGATATTTTCATGGAAAAATAGGTCCGATATACCGATTTTCTATAAGACAAATGTTTGGGTTTTTTCTATTACATGTCGGGCTTAGTTTTTTTTGGGCCTCTTTATTTGGTCAACCGGTCAACACATATATTAAGTCTCACGCTTCTTCTCTTCTCAGTTCTTTCACAGTTCACGCTTATTGTTTGCGATTAGCTCGTTTTTGAACACTTGTCCTATTTTGTTTTGTGGGACTTGTTTATGTGATGCTTTAGTTTTGAAATTATATTTCTAAACTCTAATTAATGCATATGATATGTTTATGGATGCATACATAATATATATATATATATATATATATATATAATTCTAAGAAATATTATATTAACCGCTATTTTGGACCGATATATCATCGATATAACCGAAATATCGAATATCGGTCATGACCGATATTTTATATTTTGACCGCAGTAACAACATAGTCACTATTTATGTGAAGATATACACCCTATACTATAAAAAGAACGTGTAAACTATATGAGCCCAAAAATTTGTACAAATTAGATATGACAAAAAAAAACCCGGACCTAAACTGGTCCTATGCCCGGTTTAAAAAAAATGTTGCAATTGGTCATTTGGTCTTCCTGGTCACGTCTTTCATCAGCTGGTTCCTTATTAAAAAAAGATGAATCATTTTAAATCCTTTTTCCACAATATTTTCTACAAATTTCTACTACAATTCTGTTTTCCCAATTGAGCCACTGAAATGAACTTCAAACTTCATTTTTATTATCATAAAAAAGAGTAAATTACAAATTTCGTCTCCGTGGTTTTATAAAAATTTGGATTGAATCCCTCAAACAAAATGATTACGTGTATAGTCACTGTGGTTTCAGCTTTGTTTTGAATTGGGTTCCTTATCCTAACAATTGGTACAGAACGGCTTGGACGATGTGCCACCATATCGCCAGTTTGTCTAATTGTCAGTTTGTCTTATTTTTAAAATTAAGAGCTATTCAATCTTCGTTTTGTTTAATTGTCAGTTTGTCTCATTTTCGTCTTCAATCTTTCTAGCGTTTTCTTCAGTCTTCAAAGTCTTGAACAGTGTCATTGGTTACAATTCAGTCCTAAGTCGAGTCAGGTCCTGTTTGGCCATCTCCTCACTTGTTTCATATTATATTGCTTAATTGGTGTCTTTTCGGGTTTTGAAAACAGACCGAGTATATGGATCTGACAGTACAACAAGGCAAGTATACGAAGAGGGAGCCAAAAGAGTTGCTCTTTCAGCTCTCAATGGCATTAACTGTGAGTACTCATTGCTAATACGTTTCCTTCAAATTTCGATATCATTATTAAATATTAAATCATATATCGATTATAAACTATGGTCTAAGTTGTTTTCAAAATCGTGTTTTTTTGTTCAGCAAGTATATTCGCATACGGGCAGACAAGTAGTGGGAAGACATACACCATGTCTGGAATCACTCAATATGCGTTATCAGATATATTTGACCAAATTAACAATGTAATCAAAACAGATACTCTCACACACTCTTCACATTTGTTGAACGATCCAAATGAAATTCTTAATGGGTCAGTCATTTCCTTCAAAACTTAAGCTCATGGGGCTACGTTTTTTGTGTTCAGCAACATGACAGAGAATTCGTGTTGAAATTTTCTGCCATAGAAATCTACAACGAATGTGTTCGAGACCTTCTTAGCACAGATAGGACTCCCCTTAGACTCCTCGATGATCCAGAGGTGAGCGAATCAATCACAAAAAAAGAACCATCGAATAATTAAACAAACGGTTTGAAATTTATGGCTTTTCTGGTTTGCTATCAGAAAGGGACAGTTATAGATAAACTTACAGAAGTCCGTTTGAAGGACTGGATCCATCTAATGGAACTCCTAGCTCACTGTGAAGGTAATAATAGTACCATTCTTATTACAAGAATGTATGTATGTATGTATGTATGTATGTATGTATGTATGCATGCATGTTGATCATTATGCATTTGTGTATATAGCTCAAAGACAAATTGGGGAGACATCCTTGAATGAAGTGAGCTCCAGATCTCATCAGATTATTCGACTGGTAAACTACTTCTATTTCAACAACGTGACAAGTGTCCATATTCGTCATGAATACAAACATTCACGATGAACGTCCCGTCCATCATGAATACAGACACATGGTGCAGTCTCGGTGTTTCCCAATTTCTCAATGAAAATGAGGAACGGAACCTGCTCCATATAATTATATACAACAAATTAAACTGACACACACTTCTCAGTATAACTACTTATCAACATCAGCAAACTTGAAAATTTCTTGAATCCTGACTCATTATTTGTTTTTTCAGACAATTGAAAGTACTCCAACTGAATTCTCAGGGATTGAGAATGCAAGCACTCTTACTGCTTCTGTGGTAAGGATGTTTGCAAAGCATTTACCTTTTCATTCTACAATTAGACAATAAATAAGTTCGCATTTTTGTATGTAGAATTTTGTGGATCTAGCAGGAAGTGAACGTGCTTCTCAAACGTTATCTGCTGGTACACGGCTGAAAGAAGGCTGCCACATAAATCGCAGTTTACTAACACTAGGAACCGTTATCCGCAAACTCAGGTTTCTACTTTCCTTGGTTTCTTTTCATCGTACATTACAACGATCTTGTACTAAGAAAATGAATTTTGTCGTCCATGATTGCCACAACAATACACTTGGACTGGATTGAGTATGACAAAAATCTAGAAAATAAGAAAAGATTGGTAAATTACTAAACTACCCATGTAAGATTAAAATCCGAAAACCTTTCACAATTCTTTGACCAGCCTACCTCACTCTCGTCCATACAGCCAATCCAGTTTTGTTTGCGTACTTAACGCACCATAAATGAAGAGTGTAATTGACATCTTTCTGTTGTCTGAAATGTAGCAAAGGAAGAAACGGACATATTCCTTACAGAGACTCCAAGCTCACACGTATCCTACAGAACTCTCTTGGCGGTAACGCAAGAACTGCCATAATATGCACCTTGAGCCCAGCACGGACTCATGTTGAGCAGTCAAGAAACACCCTTCTGTTTGCAGTCTGTGCCAAGGAGGTCAGGACCAGTGCCCAGGTCAATGTAGTCATGTCAGAGAAGGCATTGGTGAAGCAGTTGCAACAAGAAATGGCTAGATTGCAAAGTGAGTTGAAGCATATGTCTGCCACAAATGATTCTGAGGCCATAATCAGAGAAAAGGAGCTTCAAATAGAAAAGGTGAGGAAGCCAGTTATTTGCATCTGTTTGTGGTAGTTAAATAAGTGAAAAGTCTCATAAGTGATAAGCTAGCTCACAAGCTAGATTACAATGTAAAATAACCTAAAAGGGCATGTTGAAAAATTAATTGAAAAAACTTAGAGAACGTTTCAAAAAGCTAGGTTTTTTGTAACCATGGGTGTCCGGGTCAGCCAGCTTGACCACACCATGACTATCGCCTGAAAGATCCCCAATGGCCTTGGAGGGACTTAAACCAGTGACTTATGAGGAGCAACCCCAAAGACACAAGCCTTATTGCCACTTGAACTTTTTGCCAAACCAAACGTGACATTTTTAAAAAAGCTCAAAAATAAGCTAGCTTATGGTTGCCAAACACGGTCTTGATACTTTGAACTAGTGTTTTAAGGTATCTTAGCATTATAGAATTTAGACCATTACATTGCTTAATCATAGGTTGAAGTATGAGTGCTTGCTAAAACGAATGGATAAATCTAATGGTTAATTAAGTAGGTGCCCTTGTTTCATTGTACCCCCTAGATGGAACAAGAGATGGAAGGGTTGGCTCGGGAACGCGATCTTGCTCGAGCTCGCCTTGAGGAAATATTACGAGCAGCTGGAGTCGATCAAAACTTACTGCCATGGGTATGTTATCTTCCCTGTTAATCCAATAAGCCTAATCAAAAACAAAACTGCGTGCAGGGTAATCTTTAACCTTCCTATTATCATATAGGCGGAATCTGGCCACCTACGTGCTAGTTCATGGGATGGACGCTCTGAATCAGACAGATCTGAGATTGTGGTTAACAATCGTCTTCGCTCCCAGCTTTCACTCAACACATATAGTTATCCAGACAAGAATGAACTACAGATTCCAGATGATGACCCTTACTTTTTTGATAATATCTCCCCAAGTGAGTTCATGAATCAATATTTCGCACCAGACCCAATTCAGGGAATGGAGGAGACTGCTCAACCCATGCAATCGATCAAGAAAGATCAGATAGATGATACCCAAGATCAAGGGCAAAATTCCAACTACATGGAATCTCCTCGTTCATCAGTCACATCTGTATCCTATTCAAGAAAACCCAGTTTAAAAAGAACAGATGATGCCCATGATCAAGACCAAAATTCCAACTACATGGAAT